TGTGCCAGACAATGCTTTTGTCTCTCAGAAACACTGGGCTTCTCTGATTCTTTGGCTTTCTCATATCCTGACACTATCCCATACCCCACTGAGGGCAATGCAAGGCCCCTTTTTGATGCCTTGGACAGTAATCATCATCCTTTTACTTCACCACTACCACTGGCTTCAGTGCAGCTCCTCCTGATTTACACCCCTGCCCATAACAGCCTTCTGTCCCCTACTTCCATTATCACCTGAGCACCTGAGCACCATATAACAGCTCTTCCTGGCCAGACACTGTAGCTGGGTTACAAGCATCTCAGGAGGGATTCTTTATAGAACATCACTTAAACTGATTTTATTTATTTTTAACAACGTGCTTCATTCTACTACCTCCATCCTTTCATTCTCAGACAAAAGTTAAATGTCAGGTCTAACACTAGCTGAATGCCCCTTTTAAAAAAAGTTTGATTTCAATCTCAAGATATATCAGTAGTAAGAAAGCTTCTTGGTGTTAATTTTAAAGCACTGGTATTTCATGCTGACTTGGGAAATCATCCTTGGGTTTTGGCATCAGGCAGAGGATTTGGAAAGTGACATTAACAGATCTACTTTCTTTGAAGGACTAGGGAGTCATTTCTTGACTTCTGCCTAATGAATAAGTGCTGCCTTCGTTAAATTTATATTTATGGCCATATAGTAGGTCATTGGCTTGTTTTATGTCTCCAGGTTTATGGAAGGTTATCTTGCCATGGTCACCTTGTGGCATCTTGGCCAGAATCATCTTGCAAAGAGACAATTGTATCCGAGCAGGATTTTTCCCGTAGAGATATGGAAATGATCAAATTAATATAAAGGTGATATCCAGGGATAAAGCTTTTGCCCTGAGCTGCCAAATGAAGTTACTGTTAGCATCTGTTTTCACAGTACACCTTTAGTTTGCCCTGGCAATACCGGATCCTTATCTTATGCAAAGCAGCAAGGCTACATTAACTTCAGCAGGACTGATGTGATTGATAGCTGTCCTTTGGCCTCTCAGAAGCCTTTCTCCTTCTTTCATTCCACCAGCTGATTCTCAGTGTGCATCTTACATCATGCTTAATCTCTTAAATGTCTGTATGTTGGACATAAGATCTCCATGAGTCTGACTACAAGGAAAGATATTTCAAATGTCAACCTATAGGCATATTTGCACAGATTGCCACCAGCACATCCATGGTCTTTTGAGGGTGGTAAAACTAGATACAGGTTAGTTCTGGTCCAAAACCCCATTTAATGTGCTTTACGATATCCATGTCCCTCATCTGGTGTCTTCTGTATCCCTATAGATGGTACCAGCCCGTACTCAGCTGTTTACATCTGGGTCACAGTGGGCTTACACCCTGGCACACACAGCATGCAGAAGAGCTGGGGTCTGTTCCCAGCCCGACATGCCCGTGTTCAACTAATACTTGCAGTACAGAGAAGACTGGCCAGCTGGATGGGGAGGATGGGTAGCTGGCGAAGGGTAACTCCTACCTTAGCAAAGCATGATGTGTGTGAAGGCCATAGGGGTGCAAACCCTATTAGGTTATACGTATCATATGGAGGAATAAAGCCACCTTCCTTCATTGTGTCCTTTTGTGAAAACACAGAAATGATGCATGTCTCCCCATCACTTTGAATTTTAGCACATGGTCTGCTCCATCCTGCAGCCACACATAATCCCTGGGGCAGTTTGGCTCTGGATCATAAGTCCGTCATACATCTGAGCCCTTGCTGAACTTCTTATGGGTCATTAATATGTAGGAGGACTGTCACTTTGCTGAACACAGCATGGCCACAACTTCCTCAAACCTTTAATCTGTGTCTTGAGATTTCTGGATCAATACCAGCAGTTGGCTTCATCCACACTACAGCTGGGAGTGCAGGCAGTTATGCCCTTCACTAGGTTTAATTCATCTGGCGGAGTGAGCAGCAGCATGAAGATATGCTCATGGCTGCCCAAGCTACCTTGGATTCATGCCGGGGTACCCAGGTGGCCCTGAAGTCTGTCTCCCTGCACCTTCACAGGCTGTGTTGGTCAGCATGTGGACATCTACTGTACTGAAACCACATCTTCACTGTCTGAGTAAATGCACTCCTCAAGCTAAGGAAGGCGAGGTCTTCAGGGAGAAAAGGTCATCACTTCTGTTTTTAAGAGCTGCCAAGTTAAATTCCTGCAGGTGGTGACTCACCACAACTGCTGTTCCCAAACAGCCAAGGTAGGGTATGAGACTACAAGTAGAACACAGAGCCCCAGACCAGGATTGCTGCTCCCTCTTCTGTCTGTTCCTACAGCCCTGGAAGGGCTCCTTTTGCTCCTTTTCAAAAGCACCCAGGAATTATTGTGTCAGTGCTAGGGTCTTGTCTGTTATGTCAGCCACCTTGATGTTCTTCACCTATGAGTAAGTGATTCCCAGCTTGGATCAAAGCTGGTTAAAGCCAGGGAAAAGTCTTCCCACTATCATGCATGTACTGTGAGCTGGAATAAATTTCCTGCATGATCTAGGATACAAGGCAGCTTCCTGAGAAAGAAACATCTAGTTAGATACTACCCTTGCTGACAAGTTCCTAAGATGCAGGAAAATAATGAAATCTAAAAGCTTAGTGTGGGAGAGGATGAAGGTTGCATTTAAAGGCTTGCTGTCCCAAACCCTTTAAATAAAGCATTTGTCCGGTTTTAATATTTAATTTTAAAGCTGATTTTCAGTATACATTTCCTAGGCATAATGGCGTAGTTATGATGGGCAGAGTATAGCTCCAAAGGCAGGTGAGATATACATAGATGGGGTAAGGCAAGGAGCTCGGTTGTGAGCACAGCAGCCCTATTAAGGACGTAGACTCAGCTATGGCTGAGATACTGAACAGTTCCCACATGTGCCTTGCTAAGGCAGGGAACAAGGGAAAGGACCACAGTCTGCCAGGTACGGCTCAGTGACTATCCATATCAACAGAGGCAATTGTTACTAATTGTGAGCATATCAGACAGAGAATGAGCATGCTTGATCCAGCTACAGCTGGAGAGGAAAGAAATGCTGTGAGTGTATCCCTCAAGCAGCAGAGACAGTTTCTTCTCCTAGCTCTATAAACTACTGAGTGCAACCAAGAAAAGGCAGTTGCTTTCAGGGCAGATACAGCAGATCATCTCCTTTACTGCAGACAAAAAACATAGTCTTGAAAAGACTTGCTCCCTTTACCTCATATCCCCTCATCTTCATCAGGAGATATCTTCTACCTGACAGGACTTGGTCACTTTGAGGGTTCAAGATATCATGATCCACTCTCCCAAAAGGGTGCAAGAACTGGTGTATCACTCAACCTTTCATAGCCGTTCAGTTTTCTTCTGGAGCAATATGCTCAGTGTTTTGTTTTAGAGGAAAACAGTTTTGAGCAGAAATTGAACAGGATTTAGTTGTTCCAAGATGACAGGAATAAGTGGAAATGGTTTTTACATTTTCTAAGCATTTCCTCCAGTTTCTTGGAGTATCTACTCTTTAAAGATATAGCTTTGCACCTCTACTATGCCTTCCACTGATGTCCCACAGGCTCCCTAAGATTGCAATCCCACCTATTTCTTCCTGTGACTTCCCCATCCTCAAAGACCTTATGATTCAGTTATTCCCTAATGAGCAGGAGCCTCTGAGCCTTAGCCAGCTAATTAAGTTTTCCCCCTCAAAGTTTGGTCTTCCCAAGATTCCTCATATTTTGGGAGAAAAGTGCAGGATCTTATAAGCTTCCATCACGATCAATGCTGGTCTTTGAAAATGAGCTTTGCACTGCCATTTACATCTGTAAGAAATAACTTTATCCATGTTCCCTGGGTCCTGTAACACCCATGTGCCAACCTCCCCCACATTTCTGCATACAGCCAGTGTCTCTCCTTGGATAGATCAATGCACCAGATTCCCTTCAAGATTCCCACACCTTTGCATCCTCCAAGCCCTTCCCTCCAGCCACACCTCTGTGCTAGTAGGAAGGAAAAAGGTGGGGTCGAGGGTGGAAAGTAGCAACTCACTAAGGGATTATCCTCCAAGTAAGAAGCTGGAGGAAACACATAAATGTAGAACTGCGCAGCACCAATAAATACAAATTAAACTCATAACAAGAAGTGAAATATTAGGGCTAAGGTGACATTTGGACTGGAGGTTCAGCCAAGCTTTGCTTTAAATTTTTTATTGCTGCAGATAAAGGAAGAGCTCATACACCACCTTTCTCTCTTTCTCTCCCTATCAACAAAAGGGGAAAAGGAAAACAAAAATCTTAACTAGCTTTGGTTGTATTTGAGCTAGACTTCAAAGTTTCTCAAAAATAAACAGTTTTTAAGGGGGAGGAATGCACACTTGTAAAGAGAGAAAATGCACTTTGAAGCCAACAAGGGACTGCATGCCTTATGCAGCGATTCACAGCATCCTCCCTGGAGCAGACAAGTGGCATCCTCCTCCCCTCCAAGCAGCATTTCCTTTTTCATGGGGGGATGCCTGGCAGCAACACAATCCTTCGAAGGGATGTTGGGATGGCAGGAGCCACTGCTTTGTTCTCTTCTCCTTCCTCCTGCTATGCCCTTCTTGTTTTGTGCTCTGATTGAAAGTTCCATGTGACTGTAGCTGTCACTGAGATCTGAGTTTGCACAGCACCTAGCACAGCGTCAGTCCTGGCTTAAGATGAGGGCTCTTCGGGGTTCATTACTGCCATGCCAAAAATGCACATGATCAGAGGTGGGCTCCATAATTTAAGCTTGGGAAAGGAGGGGAGAAGTTTGTGTGTCTGTGTCCTCTGTTCCAAATGTCACAGAGTTGTTGGTGGCTGGGTGACAGAGCCCTGTTGGATATGATGGGGAGGCTCTGTACTGTCCTGTCTTTTGGGTGTCTGAGCTGCTCCCATTCTGGGACCTTCAGCCCCTGGTGTGTCTGTCTCATATCACATACCGGTAGGGTGGGGAAAAGGACAGTGCCTGTCATGTTTTAACCCCTTGATTCCTTCTCTTTCTTGTGTCTCCACAGCACAAAGCCCCACTGCAGCAGACCCCTTGCAACAAGCCTACGCTGGAGTGCAGCAGTACGCAGGTCGTTAGTATTAACACTTTCTCTCAATAAACTTTTTTCTTCTGTAAAGCCTTTAATCTCTGAACACACCTGAGGAGCCTGGGGAAAGGGAGGTGTTTGGTGATACAGGGGCAAGCTGGGGGCCACAGACTGTCAGGTTAAATTCACACTTCTTCTGAAAACATATAGCCCGTTGCCTTCTCTCCCAGTGGGGTCAGCCTCCTTCTTTCCCTCAGGGAACGGCTGCCACTGACCTGTACCTTGGTGCAGCTTCATTGGCAGGACCAGGTCCAGTCTGCTTAGAACAGTGCTCAAGTGCCAAGTCAGCCCACTGGTTTGGAGGACACTTTGTGTAACAGATCTCCTTGGTACTGCAGCAAGGAGGTGAGATGGGCATCCAGACCCTGCAAAGCCACTGCTGCTGTGCCTGGCAGGGTATGGTATCTCCGCATACAACCATGTTTCAGGGTGCATCTACATTAGTCATACCCCAGCTATGTAGTCTGAGGCTTACTTAAGAGCTATGCAGACATACGTCTTGCTTCTCAGCAGCTTTCTCCACAGCTCATAGTAAGCCAGCCTCCACTCTTATCGTCCTGTCTGCTGAGCAGCTCCTTTGCAGTTGATGGACTGACACCAGCCAAAGTGACCTGGTGCAGACCATGACCCCACTGTGTTCAGCCTCCCCTCACGAGGTGTCCATGGCCAGCGTTGCAAGGAAGCTGCCACCCCAAAGTCATTATTTCCTGTGGTAACTGGAGCAATTGTGGTCTCCCACTGAGGAATGGCTATTATCTCATGTCAGCACTGTATCTGGAAACTTAATTTAATTCTTCATGTAAGGCTTCATTTGCCAGTGTTTTAGTTATTGTCATTTATTGCTTGTGAGGTTTGATAGATGGGAAGCAGCTCAACCCTTTGAGCTGTTAATTAACCCCTCTGCACACACATGGCCCCTATCCCCCTCTCTCTGGGCTCACAGGCGACCTGTACTCTGTATTTTTAGCAGCAAGGCACATCATCTGCCATCTGTGGTAGTGAATGGCTCCCCTTGTCTTCTTGGTGGGGGAGCTGAGATGGGGAAAATTGTTTAATTGCTGCACACTGTTTCCACCGTGTTTGTGTTGGAGAGAGGAAGTCTCTATGGACGTGAAAGAAAATGTACGTCTGAGAGCATATGTGCAACTGTGCTTATATGGTGTGGGTATACGGAGGTTTGAATAAAGGAGGAAACATGCATGTGAACTCTTTTTATAAGCATATGAACTAACTAGGGTGCGAGAGAGATTAGATGGAGAAAAGTGTGCATGCACTGAGTGGCTGTCAGCATGGGCATCGACACACTGAGCTCATGAATGAATGTGTTTGTGGCACCATCTGGGATGCTTACGCATCTCTGCTGGGAAAGAACTCAGCAGAGACCCCCATTTACATGGTATGGTTGTCCCCAGTGTTATTGCTGGTGAAACTGAAGGGAGGGTGGGTGCTTAGGGCCATGTGGCACCTCCTGGGGCACAACCATAGCTCTGCCATATCTCAGGCTGCCCTTCACAGAGAAAAAGTGCAGCGGAAAGCCCACTTCTAGCTTGCTATGATGGTTTCAAAGCCATCATACACTCCTTGAAATGAAAAATGAAAGCTCCTTGCTTCCCACCGCTGAAATCTGTTTCTCTTTCTTCTCTCCCTTTCTCTCTCCTGTAGCTGCTTATCCTGCTGCTTATGGCCAGATTAGCCAAGCCTTCCCACAGCCACCTCCCATGATCCCACAGCAACAGAGAGAAGGTGAGTAAACAGGCTGTCCTCCTTTCTGGCCCCAACACACCATCCTCACCACATTGTTTCCGCTCCTCATACACTTAGAGAAGTACCCATTAAACACCCAATTTCTTCGAATCCTTGGCCCACTGACTCCTTTCCCTGTTTCCATATGTGACACAGCACCACTGACACTAACAATAGTATGCAGGAACATCCTCATGGGCAATTGTGACTGAGATGTCCTCAGTCCTCCAGAAAGGGAGCATGCTGAAGTGCATGGGCCATGGAAAGACCTGCTAGCAGCATAGGCAGTAATGTCCAGTGGCAGTCTGTATTCAAGAGAAGTGACAAGAACATGGATAAAAAAGCAATTTAGTTGGAATAAAGAATTTAATAAGGAACAGAGCCCTGGTGGCCTTTTATTGGACGCCAGTAACATGGTTTCAGACACCTGCTGTTTAGAGAACAAGGGTCTGCTATTTAGAGGAGCTGATGTGGTCCTTTCAGCACCCTTTGATAATCTGGAAACATCAATCAGCCCTTTTAGAGCAAAATCTCCACATCAGGAGGGGACGAATCATGTAGTGAAAGTACCTGTTTCTTTACACTGAATATAAAAAGAGTTGGGTTATCTAGGCTGCAGGACTGGATGGCTTCACTGGAGACATGAAATGTAAGGAGACATGAATCTCCCACTACTGCATATAAATACTTTGGGGGGCAACCATGACATGTGATGTTCCCTTTACAGGCAGTGGGGAGCAGTGGGATCCTCAGAGGCAACCTGCTCAGGTGGTCCCAGTCATCCTCCAGAGAATCACTGCTCCCTTTGGACAAGAGGATCCTGCTTGCCTAAGTGAGGCATTTAAGTCAGGTGCTTCAGTTTAGAGACCCTCATTTTAATAATTACATTTCAACTTTTATCCTCTAGTAGATCTTTAATTCGGATATACTCTATGATATCTGTGTTATTACATATATATAATGACATCTAATATTTTAACGTAGTGCAACAGTAAATGAAATGAATCAGGATTACACCATCAAACTAAAATATTCTAGTAGACTAGAACTACTTTGAGGGAAAAATCTAATTTTGAAAGAAAATTAGAAATGTCAGCATTTCGATCTAATTTGGAATTAATTTTTTTTCGATGTCAGAATTTCCTGGGGAACACAACTTCCAGCTCCTGATTAGCTCTAGTACATGTCCCTGCTGTGAGAACAGATGCACAGACCTAACGTATCATTACAGAGATGTTTCCCCCATGCTGAAGGACTTTGCTTTTTATTACTTACTGGGGTTAGATTAAGCACAGGACAAAATGGTGAGCAGATCATTGCTCAACACAGCATTGCACCAGGAACCGTCAGAAGCAAAGCAGTGCTGTGAACACTTTGAAGACCCACTTCCCAAAGCCCCCTGTGTTCCAATGCATGGTGTGCTGCTGTGGGTTGACGGTGAGTGTCACCCAGTGGACAAGCTGTCTCATAACTCCTCACTTCTTCCTGTAAGCAGCTGATACCGAGGATGGTTGGGGACCAGACGTACGAGATGAACCTCCAGTCCGATACATAGAATCATCTCCATTTTCCCGCAGTGTTTAGATGTTGTGGCTTTCTCTGCTGGTTGTTCAAGGGAGAATCTCTAAGGCACAACACTCCTTTTTAGCAGAGATTTTTAAGCATCTCTAACCCTTAACAGGAAAACACAGCAAGAGGGAACTCTAATAATAATAATGCTCAGTGCTGAGAAGAGTACTTTATGTTTGCAAGGATGTGCACAAACATTGATTCGTTAATGAACCAGCCCTAGCACAACAATAACATCGATGATCACATTGTTAATAACAATGTTAATTCTCTGCTCCCAGATCCCTGTTGGATAACAAGCCCAGAGCCACTTGGCTGCTGCAACATTCCTATAGAGACTAGTCATTACTTCCATAGAAGCACCGAGGCTGCCAGCAGCTGACGGGGCATATAGGGTAGAACAAATTCAGAAAGATCAAAGCCATAGAGATGAAGCCTTGATTCGGGCCACATCAACCAGGCAAAACTTGGGACTAATTTTAAATTTGTAGCTTCTGAAACTAAAAGTACACTTAGATATTAAAATAAAGTGTTGCAGGCTTCTGACTCCCCTATGCTCTGTGCTCAAACATGCTGGAACTGAACAGCAAGCATGATTCTTGGTCTTGAGGATGCAGTAATAGACAGCTGATGTCAGCACAGGTATATGTATGGAGTTTACTCATGTCAACAGTGGACATGCGGGGATAGGTTGGGTTTGCGGCTGTCCACCATATACCCCCCACAAACTAACAATGAGCTGAAGGGTGAAGAGCATGGACAGAGTATGGTCTGCCTGTAATTTACAGACTGTTCATAAACTGTGTATTCCTTAAACCGTTTCTTTCATTTTTGTCTGAACCAAGTCTACCTGTGCTTCCTGTGTATTAATGAACAGAAATATCTATAAGTTAAAGCCATAAAAGCAAGAGCTGTTGCAGGTGTCAGAGTAGAAATGGACCTTGACACTCTTCTCATGATGTGTCATGAGGGTTAGATTTAGAGCTGACTTACATCTCTTCTGAAAACCAAAGCATGTGTAAAAAATTTTAGTACTGTATTCAGCACTAAACTGCCAAGTATTCCAATCTCTGATAAGTACAGAAGCATTCTAGAATGGTTTGGGTTCGAAGGGACCTTAAGGACCATCTGCTTCCAACCCCTATGCCATGAACAGAGACACCTTTTACTAGACGAGGTTGCTCAAAGCCCCATCCAACCTGCCCTTGAACTCAACAATACCTTTCTCTCCAACAAGATAGTTGGACTCTGTCACTAAGGTTTTGCCACACCAGCTGTGATCTTCCTCTTGCCTCAGTGACCATAACAGAGTCCTTTAAAACTCATTGCATATGTACACTGAGAGCTAAGTTAGGTCTTCACAGCATTCTGAGGTGAAGAAGTCATGCCTTTAAATTCTTTGAAATATATATGAATATATTAAGAGTTTGTCATACACATAAGCATATAGTCTTCCACAGAGTGCCCAGATTAACTTGATTTAGGCAAAAAAAACCCAACAAAACACAAGGTAGAAGAGCTGAGGCAGACAGATCTTGTCTTGTGCATTCTTTATCAAGGAGTCTAACTGTGATAGGTAAGTTATGGATGAATAGATTTAACAAGAAATTACCTGTTAAATTCTAATGGCAGAATTTTCCTATGTGAGGATGGTAAAACAAATCAAAGTACATCATATTGTTTCTTAGTAGCAGATGGAGTTTTCAGCATTGGAAATTACTGAAAACCCTCTGTAGCTGGGAACAGAGCAAATCTGGCCTTGAATGTCTGAGTTGATATGGGAAGCCAAAGTATGGCTTTCCCAGACACATTTCAGAGCTGATCTGGGCTTTGACGGTGGTCTCTGCTTTTCCACATCTTCCCTGGTCTCTTCCTCTCAGTCTCCAAGGAGTGTGAAACAAGACTGATTTCAAGGTGAACTAAGGGTTGTTCTCTCCTTGAGACCAATCTTTAAACCTGGTGTAGATTAAATTGTGTGCCTCCTGGTCTCCCTTACGCCTTAGTAGGTGGTTCTCAGCACACGCAGGCAGAATCCCTACTCATGCACAACACATCCAAGATTCCAGGAAATGCAGCTGGTATTTTTGAAAGAATTTGCCAGTTTTACAGAGCAAACTGCTGGCTCTGGTGATGTCGGTGGGAATTTTGCCACTAATTACAACAAAGCCAAGATTTTACCCATTCTATTATAATGTGCATCTCAAATCCCACAGCAGAAGTGCTCTGGGGCATGTTCAGATGAAGGAATGAATTTTTGCCTGCTATTCTGGCCTGTGGTCTTCTCCTGGGCAGAATTTTGTCAATTCTAACAGACACCTAAGGGGGTCGGTGTTTGTTTAACACTTTCAGACTGTTTCAGATCTAGTTTACCATGCCAGTAACTCCACATTTTGTGGAAATAAGCTGCAGCAAGGACTGGAGAAGGGATAGTTGCTCTGTGAGGAGGCTAAAGAAGAGGCAGACAGGAGGAGGAGGAGGATGGAAAAACTTGGCATGAAATAGGGGAGCCTGATTGTGGGCCACTGAGGTTCAAATGTAATTTAGCTAAGCAGATGACCGGGTGCCTAATTAGTTAATTATCCCACTATCCCCCCCATTTGGAAGAAACCCTGTTACCATCCTCACGACCTCTAGGAAATGCACAAGATGCAAAGGATCAGCTGTTCCTTCGTGACAGTCCTTTTAGCAAATTAGTGGGGAAAATTGTGCTTAGCAAATATTCATTAGGGCTTCATTTTCCATTAATCCAAAAGGAAATGTGGAAAGCCTGTGACTTCAATCACGCTGAGGCCCAGGAATTTTAATGAGCTTTAAATGGGCATCTGCCAGAATCCTGACTTCGCTGTACTTCTCCTGCCAGCCGGGGGGATGAGTAATGGCTAATAAAAGGTGGGAGCATCTAGGCGAACTCCTCTCCCTAACAGGAAAGGCAAAGTTGTAATTTGCTGTGTTATGACACTGTAATTGTGCCCTGATGAAGAAAACAACAGTATTAAAAAACCTTTTCCTTCCCCACACTGTGTCCCAGAGGTAAATGGGGGGAAGCTGGATGAGTCAGGTCACAGGGTTGTAGGCAGAAGGGCTGGGGTAAGGAGGAAATCCTCCTCTCTGTCCTATTATCCTTGCATCAATGAGCACATACCGTATTCCCTTCATCTTAAGCCCCTGAGCAAAGCAGAGATGGAGTTACCTGTTTAGGTCAGTGCAGAGCTGGGCAGCAGCTGGAAGTACCATTGAAAATAAGACCATGAAAGAAACCAATCCTTGCCTCCTCAAACTATAAAGTTTTCTGCTAGTGGACACTGCAAGGGGTTTAAATGTTTATTTTTGTCAACAGAACCACTTGGACACTCCCATTCCTTTTGACTTTTCCTCAAGTACAACTTGCTTAAAAATAAAAGTCCCACTGAAAAGCTTCATTCTTGGTTATTTGACCAGAGGCAGCTTTTCCCTTCTTTTTGCCCCAAAATACAACTTCCACCAAATATTTTCTGAAGGTCTGTATTTTAACATAACTGAATATTCCGGCTAAAGAGTCCTCTCAGGATATTTTTCCGTGAACCCTCTGAAGTCTTTAAGAGTATAGGTTACAGCATTGAGGAAAAAAGGCAAGTCCTCTTGCCCAGTAATTAAGATTTGTAATCTGTCCTTGAGACCCTCTAGAATGGGAGACATGCTCAAACTGTGCAGATTTGGTGAGTCTTCAGGCTGGGTCAAGCTGGGGGGTTTAATGTTAAATTCTACAGAACAAAATAAGACTGTGTGTTTGTGCGTATCTGTCTACTTGTTTACATAGTTCTCACACAGATACAAGAAAGATAATGAAAGTTCTGCATGCAGACACTGAGAAGAGGGAAAGGTTAGTGTGGGCCACCCAAAACTCTATGGGTTAAATGAGATTGTGAGGAGCAAAGAAAAACTATGGATAGCATTCTTGAATTCTTTTAGTTCTTGTTCCTCCATTCTGTCTTTCCATGGCCACATGTGCTGCTGCATTCCTCTGTTTCTGGGTTTTATCCTAGTGTCTGTCCTGGGAAGGTTAATGAAGTTAGCATAGCCTCTGGGTGACTTTCTGAGCTGCTGGTCTTCTTCTTTGTCCATCCTTCTGGGAGCCTACACACTGCTTCCTAGAGGTGACCCTTTATCCATCAGAGAGAGGAGATGACAACATAAATCACAGTGTACTTTTTCATATCCTGTTTCTCTTCATTCATGTGTCTTCTTTTTCTCTTGACAGGACCAGAGGGCTGTAACCTGTTTATCTACCATCTGCCCCAGGAGTTTGGGGATGCTGAGCTGATGCAGATGTTCCTGCCTTTCGGTAATGTCATCTCCTCGAAAGTGTTTGTGGATCGGGCGACAAACCAAAGTAAATGCTTTGGTGGGTAAAGATAACAAAACAATTAGATTCATCCAGGAAGGGGCTTTCTCTAAATACTTTACCTTTCAAACTGCTTTCTTTCTGCTTAAGCTTTATAATTTCTCTCAATTTATTCCTGTCAATACTTTCCCCCTTCCCTCTTTCTCTCCTAATTGTCTCATGCTCAGAGTTGTATGCACTGCTTAGAAGTGAAGGATTGGCATCTCACCAGCAGCAAGGTGTTGAGGCTGCTGGTGGTCTGGTGGAAAATGTACCCCCCTTGGAAGGGGAGGTGGGGAGGGTATAGAAAAGACTAAAGTGTATGGAGCAAAATGGAGGGGGATGGAGGGGTAAGTGAAGTGCTGACAGGGTCAGCAGTGGGAGTATGTGGCAGAAGGGGAATTGCTATACCTAAGCAAAATGAAAAACAGGCCATGGGGTTGAAGGGAATACAGAGCTGTGATTGCAGCTTCCATAAGACTACAAGGGGACAAGGGCTGAACATCAGCTGAAAGCCTAATTTTCTGGAGGGATGGCTGCTTGGTGGACTGTAGGTAGACATGGCCTGAGGCCACTGAACCCCAGCCAGCACCACAGCAGATACAAACTGAGCTAACCCTGTGCCTCAGCTGATAGACCATGCTAAGAAGCTGGGTGTGAAAACTGCACCATGCTCACACACCTCTGGCCCTGCTGATGGCTCAACCCTACCAGCTGGAGAATGGAAAGAGCCATCTGTGAGCCACCACCTAGGGAGCATCCTTAGCTGGTGGCTTAGCAACAGGAGGGCTCAGCCAGCCAGCAGCCGTGTGGTGATGTGCCCATGGTGTCTCAGTAAGATCCTGCTGTCTACGAAGGTGTTGCTGCGAAGGGTCCCCTGTGGCAGTATGGCAGCATGGCAGCATAGAGACCCTGCTGCACTGGATCCCATCCCACCTGGTGGACAGTGGATCTCCCCCATCCATGTGCCCTCCACTGGGATATGCAATTCCTGGTTCTCTGCCATCTCTTTGCAGACCTTCCCTGAGAAGTGCAACCAGACAAACTATTGCTTTTCTTTTCCTGTTACTTGAAGCTAACTGGGACTCTGTCTCTCAGACAAACTTCCAGAGTTCAGACCCACTGGAGTTTCATTTGATTTTAAAGCCACTCTCAGTCTCCACACTATGCTTCCCTTCCATGCTGCCTTCCCCTTTCCCCTTCTGAACAGCTCTCTCCCCAGAACTCTTACTTCATGCCTTGCTAGCTATGGTGCATGCCAGACAGTGCTTCCAGCTGTTTCATGCCCCTTCTCCATCCATAGTTCCTCCTGCCCATCCACAGAGGGTCTGGGTAGGCTATTTCCCCCTTTGAAAAAGCTCTGTCCCCTGATGTGAGGCAACACAGCATCATCGGGTTGCTGCACTTTCATGCACTAGAGAATGGAGGACAAAGATTTTGGTGTGAAGATGCAGTTGGGAAATTCAAGTGAGACATTATTAGCTCCATTCTCTCCAGAGCCCACCTGCTTTTCAGGGTTTTAACCACATGAAAGCTTGTAACAACATAAGCAGACCAGCAAAGCTCTAGGTGACACTGAGAGATAATGTTCCTAGGATATCCACTAATCGGACCTTTGGCAATGAACTTGCCATTCCTATCATAATTGTTTAGGTGACTACTGAGCCTGTTTCCCTACGTTTTGACAAACGGGAAGACCGCAGGTAAATAGAGATACAAGCTAAGAGTCAAGTCCAGTAAGGGATAGTATCTTGTGGACAGGTATTCACCTTACCTTCTCTTAGCTCAAGGCTTTCTGGTTACAAGGATCCACAAGGATAGCAACACATATCCTTGCAACACATATCTAGCTTGTTGGGCAGGGTTGTGGGGGTTATTTTATGGCTGTTTTCAGGGTACTTGGAGATTGTGATTGATAGCTGAGCAGGAATTAAGGGATCTTAGCAGGAATTTCTCTTAACATTGTGTCTTACTGGAAGAAACTAAACAGTTTGCTTGATGAAATAAACTCAAAAACTAGTGGTGAGATATTCCAGCCCAAAACCGGGAAAGGGCTCTGGATGTGTTCACTCAACTGCATAGGCAAGAAAAGGCAGGAATTAAAGGTTGCTAGTAGATCTTAGTCACCCAGTGTTAGCTTTAGAGACACAAATACCCAAGTACAATCATTTTGGGGTCCCAGGGATCAAGCCCCGGTTTTCTCCGGCTTTAGCTTACTTTCCCATAGTGCCTGCTGTGACTGCTGGTCTCAGACAAATGTTTTGACAATGCTGCCGTGTGCACCACCTCCAGAAGGACAGAAACAGCAGAAGTACAGGTAGCATGTCATGCTCCTCTTCAAACCCTTGCACCCAGCTGACCCTTAACTTTAAAGCAATGCAAAAACGTGTATTACAGAAAATCAGGCCTTTCGTTTGTTTTGCTAAGTCCACTGAAAATGCCAATTATCATAATTTTTTCTTCAGAAAGTCAATTAAAAAATAAAGTTACCTTTTCTTAAAGGCATTTTATTAACTTTGAAAGGGTTTTATTAACTTTGAAAGTAAGAAAACTCTTTCCTTTTCTGCTTAAACGTTTCCCAAAACTCAACATGTAAAAACACAGCATTTGCATTCTGTTTCACTTTTTTTTCAACCCAGCTACAGCTCTCCAACTGGTAGCCTGGGGGGACAATTCTGTCTGGCCCCAGAAAGATATTCCACCATTATATGACCTTTTAAAATGTATCTGCTATGCAGATCCCAAGTAAATTGCCATAACAGAATCTAGCCCCAGGTTGTTGAGAAATTGTCAAGAAGTCCTGCTTTAGACAAACTTTAAAAATTCCATGAATAAAAATGTCACCATGTTTTTTCCATGGGAACAGAAAGTATTTCGTTTGCTGCTCATGTCTCACTGTTGGATTGCTGTAAGCAGCTGGTCCAAATGGAGTGAGTCAGTACAGCAGCATCTCAAAAAAGGACTTCTATTCCTTTCTGTTCGGCTCTCAATTCTCTCCTGCATTTCCAGCTCAGAATGATCTCCTTTGACCATTACAGTCAGGATAGTGTAGAAGCAGCCACCAGCATCTTACAAAGGAAGCAAGATCAGCCACAGGCCTTTGTCCTGGTTTCTGAAGTCCATGATCCTGCAGAGACCCTAGCACATGAACATGCTGAAGAAACCAGGCTGTGGTCATGAAGCCTTTGACTTTCCCAATTCAGAGGCTGCTGCCTCCTGACTGAGAAGGAGCAGCAAGGAATGCAAGCTACAGCAAACACTAGTTATATGTATAAATGTGAAAGTGCTTAAATTATGTCTATTGTTTTTCATAGCAACACAGCTTGCTCTAATGTGTAAGACCAGCTTAGAAACAACCCTGACTCCTTAAGTTAAAAAACTCATTTAAAGCTTCTTTGCCTTCAACTTTTCTTCTGCTGCACACATCCAGGCTAGACCTAGATCCTTCATTTTCTTTTACAATATTTAAACCTCTGCCTTTTATTTCCTTCCCTATCCTGACACAGCTGGAACATGGCCAAGTGCAGATCACACTCCTTCCCACTCACTAGCACCTTGTCTATCTCCATGCCCTGAGCCTCCATCACACCAACCATATCAGCATCTCCTTGTATTTATCCTCAGGCACTGCCTTATACACCCTCTCATATTCAGACTCAGTAAGTTCTCCTTCACAGATATTCACTATTCTGCCCTTCTCTCTCCTTTTTCACTAGTCCTTCACTCAGTGCCCAGCTGATACCTGTAACCTCTATCCCAGCTGAAACCAGGGCAAGCCAACATGTTTCTCCCACTGGGCGATGCTGATCATTTCCAGTGAAATGGAAGGACCACAGCAAGGAATCACTGTCTCACTCTGGGAAAAATTACACTTACACACTCCTTGAAGACAGTGACTCCCATTCTCACAGGATGCTGGTTTAGGAAGTCTTGCACATAGGCTTAGTGTGCCACAGCCTGAACATCAACTTCTGCAGGACCCTGGATCTTGTCTCTGTGCAAGGCAGAGACTACACTGTGTCTCTCACTTTACAATTACGTGTATGTAAGTTCTTCTGTGCATACGTATGCTAAATATCAGAGGATGTGAAATATACGTATGTGCTGGTCTCAATGGTTCTGGTGATAATTACCCTCCCAGTTATGCAAATAATATAAATGTGACCAATTTGTGTACAAGGAAAAAAAAACCACAAAAAACAACACAAAATTCCAGTAAAATGACACTGTTAAGGCTGCTGAAGCAAGTAGTCAATGTGAGAGGAATGCTCTTCACACTGGCCAGTCATGGCTAACTCTACCTGTGTTAGAGTGACGTTACAATACAGTCTTAATTTCAGGAGCACTCCCTGTTGTCACACAAGACACATTTTAAGAAGACATTTGAAGACATTAAATTAGTGAAATACAGAGACAGATGTGTTCTAGGAAAATGTTTTAACAGAGAAGAGAGAGAAAAGCGTAGGTTTGGGCAATATTAATTAGGAAGACATGACAGAAATTAGAAAAACGAGGATATGGATGGAGCAGCGGAGGCCAACTGGTTACCCTAAGGTGTCAAATAGGATGTAGATAAATTAAAGCTGGTGAAATTGCTTTACTGGTGCACTTGTAAATTCATTCCTCCATTTTCTGATAGCAGTGAGCACCTGGATCTGCTGGCTCCTTGAATGCCATGAAGCAGCAGACACTGTCAGGACAGTTCTGCACCATACCCTTACCTTGTCCCCACATGTGCTTCCTGGGCATGTGCCTGTTCCCAGCTGGTGTAGCAACTTCAGTTTCCCCCCATGGGGAGGCTGTGAAGAACCTCCTTTATGCCCACAGAAACACCACCACAGAGCTGGTTCCTCTCTACTTCAACTCAAGAGGGTCTGACAGCCCAGGTGTTAGCAACCACAGCTGCTGTATGTCCTCCTTTTCTATGAATTCCAAATGCATTTTCACACTGCAGAGGGTTGTCCCATCCCTTTTTGAAGTGCCCCACATTCTAGCTTTGACTACAAACTGTGGGGGTTTCC